TCATTTGATTGTTGTTTTTCCAAATTGGAACGAGGTCTTCGTGTTTGTGAGGCACAGGTTTGAAGGCTCGTTCCCAGCAGTCAATCGAGGTCAACCAATTTCAGCCATGTACACTCCCTGAAATGATAATGGAAGTGGACATCACAACCTGTTTGGTAGTCGGAAATGGTCATCCTAAGGGGTGGTCATCCTGAGGGGTGGTCATTCAAGGGGCCATGCCATCCACTTCCATGATTATTTCAGGAAGTGTGTGAACCTTAGGGCTGAGGCACAACTGCCGGCACTCGAGGACTCTCCGACGGACTACTTGAGGGAAATCAATGGAAGGGAAGGTTGGATTGGTCGATGACCGTGAAATACGGACCACGTGACGGAGCCCGGTGTGTTTCCTGGTGTTGCTTAAGGTGATGTGCATTTTCCCTCTTAGTGAAGGTTCTTTTTTCCGGGAAATAGGTTCTTTCTCCGGGCTTCCTGGACGGCAAATCCAAGAGTTTGAGAGCACCACATGGAACGAATCGGTCTTCAAGGATAGATCTTGTGGCCCAGAACAGCTGGCCCACAAAGTGCCCATGTGCGGAATGTTATTGTGGAGGCCAAGAGCACTTCTGCCACTTCGGCTGTTGTGGTCTTAGCGCTTGCTCGCTGGTTTGCACCTGGAGCTGAAGAATTTTGTGTAGTGCTTCTGTATTGGTGTTGCTCTAGAAGTGCAGAGTATACTGACAACGTCTAGAAGTTGCTGCAGCTAGAGCTCAATATTGCAGGAAGGGTGCTCAGTCAAATTCTGAGGTGCTACCGCTTTGGTCCTGTCACCTTCTTAGATGCCAGAACAGCACCAAACCCAAACCCATACAGAGATGACATGAGCTACAAGACAATGAAAACAAAAAGAACATTCACACCTGGTGGGTCGATTTCTTGCCACTTGCTCAGAGAAACCCTGACACGAAGTCATCGTGGACTGCTTGCGATTTGGACTGATCATCTCTCCAAAGAACTGCAGCCTCCGCCCCTGTTGCATGTTCCCATCTTCGAGCGTCCACCACTGCGGTGGCCTTATAAGGACGGCCCTAGCAAGCTTGCAGGAGGACAGGTGAAGCTGTGTGTTTGCCACGTGTTTGCGTGCTTGATGACTGAACTACATGGCCCTCGCAGGTACTTACGAGGCCCATGTAAAGAGGGGTGATCGGAATAGCTGCTGTTGACGGAAGAAATCCCGTACCGCTGCTGATTCGCTGTGGATGAGTTGTGGGTGAAAGCGATGCAGGATGGTATTTTCAGGTAGGTAGCCTATTGAAGAAAGAGGATGGAAGGAGCGCTGGCACCACCAGTGATTCCCCTTGCTCCTTGCTACTGCTCGCAGAGAATGGCTCAGGCCTGCTGTTCCAGGTGGCTTGAGCAGCTGTGCTCACAGGAGGGCAAAAAGAGAGATCTCCAAGGGCAAATGTTCTTTTCCACTTGGGCCTTGTTGGGCTTCGCTGGTGCTTCTTGCTGCACCCGGGCAGAGGCCCACATGGAACCTGAAAATGGACCTTTGGAAGACTAGCTTCCTCCAGCTGCACCAGTGGTTTTCGGGTTCCATGTGGGTCTCGTTGGCCTAGGGAGTACCTCCACTCCTCCCCCCGCACCGCGCCTCGCCTCGCGGGATCGGCCAGGACGGCGTGACGGATCAGAACGCTCGTGCTGTGATGGTGCGGATTGCAGTGGGGGAGCTCCGATCGGATCGCGATTTGCGGCCTTTGCCCTGGTTAGATGTCACGTCCAGGCCTGGACAGGCCTAGGTCACGTCACTTGGGGACTCCAACTGATCAATAAGATGTGTCTTTTCACGGTCACTGATAGACCTCTCCTTCCCTTTTTCGTTGATATTCTGAACTCAGCAAGGTCTGCCCCCCCCCGGTCTCCAGGTTTGGGTGGTGGTTTCAGATATTTCATGAGATGTCTATGTTCAACATGTACTTGAGGATGATTGATCCCACTGACGAATACTTTTCAAATCGTTTCAAGTCTTCATGCTTCAGCTCCTTGTTTGAAGCTTCACTTCTTTGGAGGCAGTTTGAAAACCTTCAGGGATTGGGTTGACCAACTTGGACCAGGGCGAAAACAGAGTTGACGAGTTCCATCGATTCCTCCTCCTATCGCCACCCGCCTACGCCTCCGCGCCCGCCGCGTCAGGATCAGTTGCAGGTGGCGGAAGCTCTCATGGGCCGCGGCGGCGTGCGGCTGCCCGGTGATTCTCGCACCGCACCCACAAGACGCAGCCCCAAGCAGGTTTCAGGTTTCAACAGCCTCCAGAACAAGGTGTTTTTGAGGTCCCCCTAAAAACTGAGGAGATGGATGATTTTAGGAGGGGCTTTGAAGCAGGAGCATGTCCACTGCCAAGAAGGATGGTTCACTACTCCGACTATTCCCTTCAATAGTAGAGATTTCTCAGCTCGCCCTCAGTGAAAACATTGTTGCCCAGGCATACGCACGAGGGAGGCCATCCATTTGGGGCCATACATGGCCATACCATGTTGGCTTTCACATAAAACTGAGTTTTGCTGCGCCTCGCAATCTAATAGCCTTGCTTCATTTGATTTGCAGGACCTGGATTACGCGAGCTCGTCAAAGTGGGGCGGACAGTTGTCGTGATCTTAGGATCAGCATTTGCGTGCTGTCGGAGGCCAACGCTGAATATTCCGATTATAGCATTCGTTCGGGTAGATTATGAGCAACTCAATGATTGGAATGAACTGGTGTATGGGGTGAAGTGCCCGCATGGACAATAGCCAAGCGTTGGGCAGGTTTGAACGTGGTTTGTGCCCATGTTGCCCAGGACAGGACTTGCAGCAGTTCTCATCGACTACTTAGCCAGCTTGGGTGCACCGGAAGCACTGGAAATCAGCACGGACAGACAGCTTCCCTCACATGGGCGCTTCCAAAGTCCAATGAAGACTTATACGTGGTGCAGGGTTGTCCTGAAACATATAGAACTGTAGAACCCATGATGAGAACCCCATAAAGAAGCAGGTTACACTCTTGAGTGGGGTTGGCAACCGACTGTTTCTATCGAAGCTCCGGAGCTCCTCTGAAAGACATCGGATGACAAAGGTTTCGGCGTGCCGTGCCAGCGGGGCTGGAGAGTGGTGGATGGCTTCGACTGGCGCTGAGCAAAGTCTCAACCAGGTGGGATACCTACAGGATTCAGGGATGTCGACTGAGAAAACTCCTGAGGCCCTAGGCTTGCTTCTGAGGGGTTCTTCCATTCCGGACGTGGTATAACCCTCGATTGGAGACAGATGGTCTTTACATGTCTTTACTATAGTACTTTTGGTTGTTTGAGTAACAGGGAGAATACCGACAAGTGTACGACCAACTGATGACCAACTGATATATGGTACTTGGCACGACCAACCGTCTATTTTTTCTCTCAAGTGGACGTCATTGGGAGTGAACATTCTTGAATGTATTCCAAATGAACCGGACTTCAAGAGGTGAGCCACCAAAACCCTACGCACGTCATGCGCAAAAAAGCCCCGAAG